TTTATAATCATACAAGTATGTTTGACAAGAATGAGAAAGGAGGGTTTGAACTAGCTGCAGTTGAGATACATATAGGAAACCCTAATTGGGTTGTACTCGCTATAGAGTACCCCACTGCAGGCTAGACAAGCATGATATTCTGACACAGCAGTGCGTGACGCGAGGGGCAGCAGAGCGCGACGTGACGGGCTACCTTAGGGCGCGACGCGCGGGCTGCAGCAAAGCGCGACGCGCGAGGCAGCAGCCCGCGACTCGTGGGCTGCCTTAGGGCGCGACGCGCGGGCTGCAGCAGAGCGCGACGCGCGGGGCAGCAGCGTGCGACGCGCGGGCTGCCGTAGGCGCGACGCGCAGGGCCACAGCACGGGCGTAGGGCAGGGCGCAGGCGCAGGGCAGGGCGCTGGCACAGGGCATGGCGCTGGCGCAGGGCATGGCGCTGGCGCAGGGCAGGGCGCTGGCGCAGGGCAGGGCGCTGGCGCAGGGCAGGGCGCTGGCGCAGGGCAGGGCGCTGGCGCAAGGCAGGGCGCTGGCGCAGGGCAGGGCGCTGGCGCAGGGCAGGGTGCTGGCGCAGGGCAGGGCGTCGGCGCAGGGCAGGGCGTTGGCGCAGGGTGACGCCAGGCAGGGCAGAGCAGGGCGTGCGCAAGGCAGCGCGACGCGGGGCAAGGCAGGGCGTGCACAGGACAGCGCGACGCAGGGTAGTGGGGTAACGCGGCAACCGCAGTCGGAAGCTAAGTATGGTGGGCCCGAAAAGAAAAACGGTCCTACGGACCTACTGCTCTGAAACCATGTCAAGATAGCAAGCAAGAAATGGTTACATTAAATGAAATGTGGGTACAAGTACTAACCCTAACTTCGGGTTGTACCCCATATAGGCTACCCCATTATAGCCTACATAGAACTAACACTGTGAAGAAATGAGGAATGAATGAACTAGCAAGAAGGTGGGTACAAGTAGGAAACCTAGAAATGTTGTACCCTATAGTGTCTACCCCACTACAGCCTAGATAGACCATAGCATATAAGTTTGACACACCCCCATAGGCAAAGTGGGGGAGAACAAGAGGTCAGAAGACCAGCCAAGCAAAGCAAAGCAAGCTCAGGGTGGATCACAACGTCACCACACATTCCGAGCACAAGTTCAAGGCCACAAGGCCAGTTCACATGCAAGATCATATATATAAAGGTAAACAAGCAAGTGCAGGTATAGAAAGATCACAGTACAAGTAAGGTCAAGAAGTGAGCAAGTGAGGCAAGGTAGGTACAAGACCTAACAGAGTACAGAAGCGCTGATGGTCACAAGGCGCAAGTGCCTTGGTGAAGATATCAGCAGTGTTGGCCTCAGAGGCCACGTAAGCAAGACGCAGCTGACCTCGCTGCTGCAGCTCACGAGCAAGGAAGTAGCGAAGAGCGATGTGCTTCGTTCTGTGCTCCAGTCTGTGCTCCCGACACAAGGCCAGCATAGCCTTGTTGTCTACGTACAGAACTGGAGGAGAACGAGGCGGCTCTCCTAGGTCAGTCAGCAGGTAGGTGAGCCAGCGTAGCTCCTGTGCAGCCATGGCCCCTGCGTAGATCTCAGCCTCACAACTGGAGCCGAGAACAAAAGACGAGCGGGTAGACCGCCACGAAACAGAGCCGGAACCAAGGCTGAAGGTGTAACCCTGTGACGACCGCTGCGTAGCCTGGTCGTCAGCCCAAGAAGCGTCTGCGTGACCAGTGAGGACCACTGGACTCCGCCACAAGCACAAGCCCCATGCCCGACGTACTGCACAAGTAGCGCAACACCCTCTTCGCTGCAGCCATGTGCTCTGGTCTGTGTCTCTTAGGAGCAACATAGCGTGCCAGAATGCTAAGAGGGTATGCAAGGTCAGGTCGAGTGCAGGTCATCAGGTACATGAGGCAGCCAACAAGCTCTGGGTACGGGCCACTCGACTCTACGGACTCATCCGAAGGCAGAGCTGAGAGCGAGTGGCGAGTAGACAGAGGAGTGGCCTGAGGCGAGGAGTACGTGAAGCCGAAGCGCTAAAGGACCTGCTGCACCATGTGTGACTGAGTCAGGGTAATGGTGCGCTGTGCTCTGTCCCGGGTGATCTGCAAGCCAAGGTAGCTGCGCAGTTCACCCAGGTCTGTGCACGTGTGTCTCTTCTGCAGCTCGGACTTCACGTGGGCGAGTCCAGCAGTGTCAGCTGTGGCAAAGACCAAGTCGTCGACGTACACGAGGATGTAGAACGGCGGCAAAGAAGTGTCGGTGCGCAGAAACAGCGACGGGTCGGCAGTAGAAGGAGCAAACCCAAGAGCCGCAAGAGTAGTCCTCAGTGTGTCGTGCCACTCACGAGGTGCCTGGCGGAGACCGTAGACTGGCCGCCGGAGGCTCCACTGGGTACCAGGAGGAAAAGACCCAGTGAAGCCAGGTGGGCGGCGCAGCCAGATCTCCTCGTGCAGGCTGCCCTGCAAGAAAGCAGTGCTGAAGTCAAGAGAGTGAAGCTCGTAGTCACGGTGAGCGGCTATGTGCAGCAGTACCCAAAGAGTGGTCATCTTCGGGGTGGGAGAGAAGGTCTGAAAGTAGTCAACTCCCTGCCGCTGACTGAAGCCACGAGCCACGTAGCGCGCCTTGAAGACAGGCGGAGAACCCGGCGGCCGCTTCACCCTGAAAATCCACATGCCACTGACGATGTTCGCCCCAGGAGGGGGAACCTCGTCGACGTAGGTGCCTGTGGACTTCCAGGAAGCCATCTCTGCATCCATGGCTGCCTGCCACTGAGAGGAGTAGGGACCCTCTATCGCCTCCGCGTAAGAGCGCGGAGTCGGGATGTCTGGTGCATCCGGGTCTCCCTCAGGGGCAAGCAGCATGGACACGAGATGAGGTGAAGCAGCAGCAAAGCACTGGAACTCCTCCTGCCTGTCCTCAAGGACGTCCGTGCCAAGGGCACACTCACCCCCGACGGACGGAGGACAGACAGACCCAGACTCAGCGACAAGACTAGCAGCGTAGTCTAGGCGACAGCGAGCAGCGAAGTCGACAAGCTCAGAAACTAAGGCAGACGCAGCAGCGGACTCAAAGGAAGGGCCAGTGACGACAGTAGCAAGGAGACGCGTGACAGTAGGACTGGCAGCACGAAGGGAGTCCGACTCCGGGTCAGCAAGAACAGGAAGAGAGGACGCAGGAGGAGAAGGCAAAGGGGCACGCAGCGGAGCAGTGGAGGGACGCAGAGACATCCGGTGCGTGCCGGGGACAGGGGGAGGACGCGGACGCGAACCACGACCACTAGTGCGAGCAGCACGGACAGGCGACGCAGGACGAGACGCAGGCTCACGACGCTCAGCAAGACCTCCAGTGTAAAAAGCTGGGAGCGGCTCACGACGCCCAGGCCTCTCACGAGGCTCACAGCCCTCTGGGAGCTGAAATTGCTCGAGTGTAAAAAGCTGCAGCGGCTCCCGGACTCCTTGTTGTCAGAATGTGATGTTTGTGTAGCCTGCAGTGGGGTACTCTATAGCGAGTACAGCCCGAACCAGGGTTTGCTATATGTACTCAACTGCATGCTAGTGAAAACCTCTCTTTCGTGTTTATCGTTTTAGCCTGCTGTTTCAACAGGCTATCAGAGCAGGTCGACCCTCCTGGGTCGATCCTGTGGGTGGGCCCCACCCGATGCTTCCGCTGCTCTACTGCCTGTAGCGCGCCCCGGGCGCGTTTTGTTTCCTGCCTGCCGCGCGCTCCGGGCGCGCAGCGATTTTTCTTCCCGCCGCGCGCTCGGGGTGCGCGGCGGTTTTCTGCCCCGTCGAACTGCGCGTCGCCCCCTGTCGACCGTCGCGTCGCCCCCCGTCGCCCCCCGTCGCCCGACGCGGCCCGCGCGACCTGCGCCAGGCCCGCGCTCGGCCCGGGCAGCCCGCGTGCGGTTCGTCCCGAGCTTCTGACCGCGCCCCACCCCCGCTGCTGCCCGCGCTCCTGTGTTAGGGTTTAGGGGTGGAGAGTATGGGGGTGCCGGGTGTGTGAGCCGTCCCCTCCTCCTCCTCCTCCTCCGTCTCCCACTGCTGCAGCTACCGCTGAGGGGGGTGGATGTGTTGGAGCCGTCGGACTGGTACGAGGGGGGTGGCGTGTGAGCAGTGCTAGAGGTGCAGTAGGGGGTGTGTGAAAGGGGTGTGGGACAGTTGGGGGAGGTTGACCGGAGGTAGCCGACTTGTCGTCTGCAGCGCCTGAAGTCCAGGGAGCCACGACCCCCTGTGGCCTGAGTAGTCCGGGGCTCTGCGCCCGGTAGCCACAGTGTGAGCACTCGTGGTAGTCCAGAGAACCACGACCCCCTGTGGCCTGAGTAGTCCGGGGCTCTGCGCCCGGTAGCTACAGTGTGAGCACTCCTGGGAGCACAGTGAGCCAGCTGCGTCTGTCGCCGTGTAGTCCGGGTTTAGCCTGGTAGCGACAGTGCTGCGCACTCCTGCTGCCCGTATGTCTGCAGCTTCAGCCGTCGCCTCCCATCTTCTCGCCCCCACAGTTTCTCCTCCTCCTCACTTGCCCTCTGTGATAGCCTCTAGCTTTACTTATAATTGTGAACTACTGCTCTGCCTGCTTGTTGTGTTGATTGTACCCCACTTTGACTATGGGGGTGTGTCAGAATGTGATGTTTGTGTAGCCTGCAGTGGGGTACTCTATAGCGAGTACAGCCCGAACTAGGGTTTGCTATATGTACTCAACTGCATGCTAGTGAAAACCTCTCTTTCGTGTTTATCGTTTTAGCCTGCTGTTTCGACACTTGTCGCAGCTCTCTTCTCTCGAGTACATGGAGATTAACTTCTGTCCGGACCTCACGCCACTGCCAGATGACATGGGCAAGGGTCTGCACTCGTTGCGCCATCTTCTTCTAATGGACTGCACGGCTCTCACCCACCTCCCTCCATCCTTCTCCGGCCTGACCTCTCTCGAGACCTTCATGATTTGACAAGCGAAATGCCTCAAGGGCGCTCTGATGGACGGCTTTGGAAGCTTGAAAAGCCTCAAGGAGTTGTCGCTCCGTAGTATGCCTCTCCTGTCCGCCCTTCCTGCTTCCTTCTCATGCGTTTTCTCCCTCACCAGCCTGGAAGTGGGGAATTGCCCGAAAGTAGCAATCTTGCCAGAGGGAATCGGACGGCTGGAGGCGCTTGAGGAGTTCAATATCTTTAATATGAACGGCCTGGAATGTCTCTCTCCGTCGCTTCTTGAGCTGCCCTCTCTGTGGACGTTGGAGGTGCGGGGATGTGGTGGGTTAAGTGCGGTGCTGGGCGATGAGAAGATGGTTAATCGTACTGCCAGGGGAGTATTATCCAGCAGCAGCAGTGGCAGCTACGAGTTGCTTCCTTCCATTCAGAACCTCAAGATAAAAGATCCTAATATCGAGTCCTTTGGTCCGACCCTTGGTCGTCTCTCCTCTCTCACGCAACTGAAGCTACAAAGGCTTGGGGTTGATTCGGCTGTACGTCTGAACGCTCTGCCCGAGTCCCTTGGAAGGCTCTCAGGGCTGCGCGTCTTGCAGCTGGTTCGTCTCACCACAATGCGGAACCTGCCTGCTTCTCTCGGGCAGCTGAAGATGCTTGAGACGCTGGATATCGTCGATTGCTTCAAGCTGATGCAGCTTCCGTGGTCGTTCTCGAGACTATCAAACCTACCATCCTGCACTCTTATCAAGATCGGGATCTCAGCCCTTCCTGATGACATCTGGTTGTTGTCTTCCCTCTAGAAGCTGCTGATCCTGGGGCTGAAGCAGTTGAGAAGGTTGCCGGATTCGATCACTCGGCTACCTAGGCTTGAGGAGTTGCATGTCGGTGCGTGCAAGAAGCTGACTCAAGTGCCGCCCTCTCTCCGGAAAATGCCATCACTGTGTGATTTACACATCAGTGATTGCCCTTTTCTCTCACAGCGAGACATGCGAGGGGTTCCTGCAAGGAGAGAGGAGGAGGAGGAGGAGGAGGAGGAGGAGGAGGAGGAGGAGGAGGAGGAGGAGGAGGAGGAAGTGGAGGGGGAGGAGGAGGAGGAGGCGGGGGAGGAGGGGGAAGGAGGTTATGCGGAAGAGGAAGAGTGGGAGGAGGGAGGCTATGAGGCGGCGGAGATGGAAATGGCGGACTGGGGCTGGGAGGCAATGGAGGAAGAGGAGAGTGGTGGTGATGAGGAGGACTTTGAGCATGAGTATGCCTTAGACAGTGACTATGACTGGGAGCACAATGGAGACTGAGGAGGGGAGCGTGATGATGAATAAATGGTCTCTGAGGCGCCTCAAAAGGAGAGTGGAGGTGATGAGGAGGACTTTGAGCATGAGTAGTATGCCGACAGTGACAATGACTGGGATGACAATGGAGGCTGAGGGGGGGAGCGTGATGATGATTGAAAGTGTTTCTGAGGCACTTAGAAAGAAGAGGGGATATTGAGCATGAGTATGACTACTGTCAAATCACATTTATATGTTTGTTACGTTGCTAGGCTAGAGTGAGTTGCATAGTATAAGGTACATATTATCTCGACGTCTAGTTGTACCCCCTCCCCTACTACACTTCCCCTAGCCAATAGACACCCGTTCTAGTTTTTTTGGCGTGAATGTTTGTTTCACATACTTCTCCAGCAACGCATCCAGAATAGCTACTGTTTCGGTATCCGGCACGCCATCGTAAAGCCTGGGACGGAAATGCATCTGAAACGCCGCAATCACGGCGCACGTTTTCTCATCCAGCTTGCCAGTTTGGGGAGTGTCATAACCGTAGTTCAGCAACTTTTTTTGAAGCGTGGCGATCGCCTGTCTCTGCACGGCGGGGTCGTCAATCAGAAGTGTAAAGGGAAAATTGCGCTGATAGAACTGAACGCGGTCGTCATCCGGCCAGGCGCCGACTCGATAGCGCAGGAACAGTTCCCGCCAGGGAAACAAGGGACCGGGATCCGTCTTGCGGCCCGGCGCCACATCCGCATGCCCGACGACATTGATAGGACGGATTTGGTGGCGCTGAATAATGTCTTGGACCAGCTGTCCGACCACTTCGAGTTCCTACGGGCCCTGGTGGGCGCAAACCCACCAGGTCCCTCTCCTGGTGGAAGTCGAATCCACCAGGACGCGGAGCCGGCGGAAGCCTTCTGCCCGGGGCAAAAAAAACTATTCCCCATCGCGACCTGCATGCCGTTCGGGAGCCTCAACCCTAAAATTTTAGGGTTGATGCTCCCGAGCCGCATGCCTTCCGGATGGGTTTTAGTTTTTTTCTTGCCCGCGGGCAGATCGCTTCCGCGAGCACGCGGAAGCGGTCGCGGATTCGCCCGTGTTTTTCCGATAGGGCTCGTATGAACATTTGATTTGATCCAAAGGGTAAGGGTACCAGCGACGCTGCATAAGGGGCAGCGACTCATCGGCTTCCGGAAACCCCATGTTGACCGTTTCAATACCAATCGATCCCGGATTGAGCAAGCGGCTCCCGCGCCAAAAACTTACGCCGGCATGCCAGGCGCGCCGATCCTCATTCGCAAGCCTATACACGTGCATCGCGGAAATGCAAAGGGCCCAAAGTCACAGAAATGTAACTTTTCCGTGACTTTTTTGCGTGATGGAAAAGTCATGGTCAGAAGTACCAAAAACTCAAGTCACGGAAATGTCACGTTGGAGTCCCGAAATTTCATACAGAAAGTCACTGAAATGTGACCGGTGAAGTGATGTTCTCGTCACTTCTTGTCACTTTTTTGTTCCCATGCCACGTGGCGAAGTGGCGTTTCATCTTTCTAGATATTTTGCCAGGTGTCAATGCTGGTGATTGGTTAAAAAGGACCAATCAAATGTCAGCGAAAGATGTGCCTAACCGTAATTTTATTGGCTGGCGATTCTGAACAGCGACCGCGCGTCGAATAGCATTCCGCACGTCGAAAATTTCAAAAGAGCACAACGGAGACTACCGTACGCGTTTAGCAAAATGCGTCATAATTTCAATACGTACATAATACATTGACATAGCAAAGACAACCGCACACCCACACAACTGCACATCCATATGTCCACACAGCTAACCAGATCTACTCTAGAGCCTAGTTAGGAACTAAGCCGACCAGATGAGGTCGGGACGGTACTTGATGACACCAGGAAATTTAGTCACGGAACAGTTTGATGCCTGCATAAAAAACGCCGAACGTCATGGAAGTTGCGCCGCCGCTCCGGCGCATCGGGGATCAAATAGTGGGCGCTGACCTCCATCTTGGGGTCGGTCAGTATTTTCAGCGAGTCCGCCAGAGATTGCGCCGTATAGTGCAGCAGAGACACACGTGCACAGACCTGGGTGAGCTGCGCAGCTATCTTGGCTTGCAGATCACCCGGGACAGAGCACAGCGCACCATTACCTTGACTCAATCACACATGGTGCAGCAGGTCCTTCAGCGCTTCGACTTCCATTACTCCTCGCCACAGTCCACTCCTCTGCCTACCGGTCACTCGCTCTCAGCTCCACCTTCGGACGAGTCCGTAGAGCTGAGTGGCCCGTATCCAGAGCTTGTGGGCTGCCTCATGTACCTGATGACCTGCACTCGACCTGACCTTGCCTACCCTCTTAGCATCCTGGCACGCTACGTTGCGCCCGGGAGACACCGACCAGAGCATTGGGAGGCCGCTAAGAGGGTTTTGCGCTACTTGTGCAGTACGTCGGGCATGGGGCTCGTGCTTGGAGAATGGGCTCGAGTTGTCCTCACTGGCCACGCAGACGCTTCTTGGGTTGACGACTTGGCTACGCAGAGGTCGTCACTGGGTTACAGCTTCAGCCTTGGCTCCGGCTTTGTTTCTTGACGGTCTACCCGCTCGTCTTCTGTTCTCAGCTCCAGTTGTGAGGCTGAGATCTACGCAGGGGCCATGGCTGCACAGGAGTTACGCTGGCTCACCTACCTGCTGACCGACTTGGGAGAGCGGCCTCGTTCTCCTCCAGTTCTGTACGTAGACAACAAGGCCATGATTGCCTTGTGTCAAGAGCACAGACTGGAGCACAGGACGAAGCACATGAGTCCAATAGTAGACGTAGATATGAAGTACGAAACTGCTGCTTCCAGCTCTCGTAGGTTCTCCCCTTCAGGTCGCTTAAGAAATAGAGCGAGCTGGCTAGCCGAATAAGCTAAGTCCGGACGGCACGTTACAGCTGCAAATAGAAGACCGCCGATGAGTTGTTGATAGCGAGTGACACCCGCAGATGAAAGAGGCTCGGATTCAACTGCGTGAGTAGATCGGAACGGAGTTGCAGAGGTAGTTATCGGTAGAGGAAATCGCTTCAGCAGCTTCTCAGCGTACTTCTCGGCGAAGAGGTGAATATCAGTTGATGTCTCGGTGATATTTAGACCGAAATACTGAGTAACATCCGTCGAAATCGTAATCGTGAGGTCGGTTTTAGCTCCCCTTCAAAGTAAGAGATAATGTCAGGCGTTCTGCCGATGTAAAGCAAATCATCGACGTTGACGGTCCAGTCGGTACATTCCGTGGTCATGAGGCAGTTGGCGAAAACCGATGCGGATGAGGAGTTCGTGAAGATGCTGCTGCCAGAGGCGCGGCACCTGCTTAATACCGTAGAGAGACTTGTTAAGACGGCAGACCATGGAGGGATCGGTAACGTAACCGTGCGGCTGCTCGACGAGTATAAGCGCGTGAACGAGAGCGTAAAGGAACGCCGTTGAAACATCGATTTGGCGAAGCTTAAGACCCAATGCTGCAACTAAGGCGAGTAGAATGCGAAGCGAAGTGTGATGACTAACAGGAGCGAAAGTCACGCCGTAATCCACGCCCTGCTTCTGATCAAACCACGAACGACCCAACGAGCATTGAAGCGCTCGATCGTTCCATCAGCATTGGTCTTGATGCGAAAGACCCACTTCCCAGAGAGAATGTTCTTGCCAGGAACCGTCGAGATAGGGATTAAATCCCAGGTGTTGTTATCGTGTAGCGCCTTTAGCTCCTTATCCATGGCTTCGCTGTGAGGTCCCTTCAACGCTTGATCCAAGGTGTTCGGTTCGGTAGGAAGAAGTGGTTGAACAGCTACAGCGAGCCCTAATATATGTAACCCAGTCTGTTGATAACGAGCCTGCTCCTCAGTCTCGTTAGTAGCAGCTTCGTCACCAGCTTCGGGATCGAAATTATAACCAGTACCCATTCGTTCCCTTTGGTTTGAAGCGACGGGAAGATGTGTAGTTGCTCCGTTATCGGCGAACTCGTAGTAAGCCTCGGTGTTAACATCGTTGTGAGGATCTTCCTCATCAATCTTGATCGGAACAGAACAGTAAGGGGCAGCACCGGCAGCTGCTGACGCACCCGAGACAGCTTCCTCCACGTTTTGCCGACCGGACCTGAGTTGTTTCGGTGTTTACATTGTACAGTGTTTTGTCTACGCCGCCAAGAGCTGCTTGGGAAAATACACCCACTTCTTCGTTTGATGCACCCGCGATTGTGCCACCGGCTCGGTACGTTCACTTAGAAGGTTGGGAGCGATGCGTTTATCTCACATAGAATCGATTCACACGCATGATCAGTTCAGCATTGAATTGCTAAACGTTGAAGAAAATTGGTGGCAGAGCACTACAGTTGCACGCATTCTCGCTAAAGACGAGGCCAAATTTATTAGTTATGATTAGGTCAGGCCGGCCTACAGTTGCAAAAACGTATTTATAGCCACATTTTGGGAGCAAGGGATGGCAACACGCAGGGAAATGTGACTCGCAGACGTTAAAAGCACCGAGCAAAAACGACAAGCACCTCCAACCGAAATGCGCTCGGTGAGATAAACGAATAAGTGGGTGTATGGGGAACATATGTCAACTCTTAATAAACCAGGGCCTCGATAACTTGTGGTAAAAAAAATACGCGTACGGTCACTGAGAAGGGTGTTCTTACGTGTGTCGTAAGTCGTTCACGTAATCTCAGTCCCTATTAAAGCCAGCAGGCAAAATAGTGACCCCCCCCTTCTAGTTGGGTCCACTTGAAGATGAAGTATTTTTGTTTTGTTTTGGAAAGTTGGAAGTGCTGTGTGTGTGCTTTTTTTTCCGACCTTCGGACGAGTTTCTTATTGGACCAGGAACGATAGTTCATGGTCAATTATGATTGGCAGCCAGGTTCTCTCACATGTACATGTGCGAATTTGGCGCGAAGTTGAGCGACGAGCACTCCTGCATTCACTAGAGCCATTACTTCACCAAATTCACAACTGGCAGACACACATGTACGTGATGAGAGTGAAAGTGTTT